CCGCAGGGGCCATGCTCTCCCAACCGGGAGGGAATTCTCACACTCCCCCTTCGGCCCAGCCGAACACGCCATAGCCTCTGCTAGGACGCACCCTTCGTAAGTAGCTATACAACGCCTTTGCGCCTTGGCCCTTCAGGGCCTACTACGCTTTTTCAGGCCTACAAATAAAGGTCACCGGTAGAAATTTACATTAGCTCAAGGCCTTTTACGCTAAGAAAAAGTACCCCGAAAGGACCCTAGTTAGATGCCTTCAAGTCCACAACATGGCACTACTGGCTACATGATGAACGAAAATTGAAAAGCCCGCTACCTAGCGCTACTGGCTATTTAGCGAACCGAAAACCCTTAGGCTCCTACTTTTAAACGCCTAAAACAGTTGTTTAGGACTTGAGGCCCTTCAGGATACTTCCATCCTCAGTCTACTTCAGCGATATCATTTCTTCGAGGTGGGGGAGCCTTATATGGAGGAGTTTTAGGCGGGTGTTTGGGGACTCCTCCAATGACTCCTATCTGGCCTACAGGTCCCTGACCTTCTGCCAGACCCTTTGGCGGATGCTTCGGAGGTCTATTCTTAGCTGGCGCAGGCTTAGGGGGAACCACTGCTGGTACAGTAGGATTATAGGATGTGTACAGCAGAAACTCCGAGCGCCCTCGCCATTGATACCCGTCTGCAGGGGCAACGTTTGGATCTGTCCTAAAATCCCCGCTGGCAAAGATACGCTCATGACCATCTCGAAAGGTACACCAAGTCCGCCGGACTCCAACGAACTGTTCTAAAGGAACCGGTGGACTTGCAATTCTTGGGTCAAAGAACTGCGCCCTATACTTACCATGCCATCGAATGAGAACCCCTTCATCTTCCCTTAACTCCCACTCATCACGATGCCGGCTACTCAACACATGGCCGATCAGAGTTCTCTCTGCCCAATACTCCCAATCTTCAGGAGTAAGCGTGTTAGGAATCAATCGCAATACTGGACCCGAAGGCAGAGAAGGAAGTGGAGACCCCTTAGGACTAGCCATGGACATGTTCCCAGAAGACGAAGACGCAGAGCCTGTCGCCCTGGAAAACGATGTAGCCGGTGGTGCAGTCACCATAACTGAAGGAACCCTAGAACCTAAGGATGAGACTGATGACCCTGAATCATTATCAAATGGAACAGCATCGTTACGCACCGAGGGAGACAAGAGCCCTTCATGATCGTGAGGATCATCGGGATCTATGGTCTGGTCGTACCAGGCATCAAAGATCCCAGAAATTTCCTCTTCTGTATACCTAGGAGTAGTCTCCCGACCAATTGGTCCTGAGGTACGTCTACGCAACCCATCTGGAAAAGGCCCTACTACGGCCAGATCATCAGCATACCGGATTACTTGCAACTGTCCCATCTGAGCGACAGAGTGATCGATAGGCTCTGCAATCTGCCTTTGTCGAAACCAGCCCTGAACCTGAGCTCGAACCCTTGACAAATTCTGAAGCAAAAAAGCGAACAACATACCCGCGACAAACGCCAAACCTATCCAAACCCAAAAACCCTGTAGTCCCTCTAAGCGAGCTCTACCCTGAGCATTGACTGGCTGAATGGTGCAGAATAGCACGCAACAGGCGAGCAGTTGACCCAGGTCCCCAAAATTCAACAGCTTAAACAAATGGTCCAACCTTTGCTTGGG